TTTTTTTTTTTTTTTTTTTGGGGGGGGAATGATAAACCAATTCATTTTCTTGTGGCTCCGTCCAGCCGCCTCTCTAGGTATACATAAGTCGTTATGTATTTGGGGGGCCATAAAGGGCATTTTCACCCCTTTGCCGTTTACCATTTTTCATAAAATGTGATGATTTTATGTAGTGTCCTTTTCCCTTCAACGAAAGTAAAAAAAGGAAAAAAAAAAAACGTTTGCGCTGATGAATGCGAACAGGAATAGCAGCGGTTAAGTATGTCAGTGGAGCAAACAGAGGTGCCACACTGATCAGGCCAACGTTCGCCCCAGAGTACATACACGTATACAATGTTCATGAATTAAGTGTAATTTGCCCAGGCGACACAAACACGAGCGACACACACGATTGTACCCTTTTGCATGTGCTTCCCCCTCGTACGCTTCTTCACTTCTTCACTTCTTCGCTTATTCGCTTTATTGCCGCCCCCTTTTGTAACTACTCCAATATAAAACAAAATAATTTTTTTCGTTTTTTTTTTTTCCCCTATAAGAATATTATAAATGGAAGAACAAATTTCAGTGTACACATTGCCCTACACTCTTGCGCACGTATCGCACATACCTCCCCTCGTCCCCTCTCGGGTGTTCTCTCAACCCTTGAGTGCGCTTCGTCGCACCTCTTTTTAATTACTTTTATAATGTAAGTTATATGTTTTCCTCTCCCGTCCTTTGTGTGAGTTTATTTCTTTTGTGTCTTTGCCCTTTTTCTGTGCCACTGCTTGCCCACCGCACGTCTACTCTGCGCCTGTGGATGATTCATCGTTTCCCCATGCATTCCATATGCAGCACAAGCTCCGTACACATGCGATAGGTATTTTTTTTTTTTTTTTTTTACACAACGCACACGTTGGACCATATTTTGCGTCGTTCTTTTTTTGTTTTTGATAATTAATTTTTTTTTTTTTTTTTTTTTTTTTTTTGTGGATGGAACGACTGTGTCTGTTCCTGTGATGGGTGTTTTTTATGTGTTAGCAAAATTGTGTCCTTAGTTGGTAGCTATGTAATTGAGTCTCTCCGAGGAGTTTTGTACCTTCCGCGGTGGGGGGGGATAGACCTGCCTTCACACATGCGTCACGTGTATGGCCATGGAGCTATGAGGAAACGCCATCCTCCTGGTGATCGCCCTGACAGAGCATATTATCCTGAGACAGGCCCTCGCGTGCATATGAACCCATAAATAATATAGAGGGATCCCTTCAGGAGGAGAGAAAGTCCCCCACCCCACCCCCCCTTTTTTCCCTTGCGACACCTTCCAAAATGAAAGTCGCCATGGTATCTGTACTATTGCCCCTCGTATTCCTGGGACTCTTCCTCAAGTCGAAGGAGCAGCAGGTGTTCGCCTCCTACAGACACTTCTTCAAGAACACCTTCAAAGAAATATTGCTCTACTTTAATATATTTGAAATACAGTTCCCTGAGAGCTATGTACTGAACCAGAAATTGCTAGGGTTACACGTGAAGGATATAGAAAAGGACGCATATACAGCATTTCCAATTCTTAAAGAGTTAAAGCAGAAAGATTATTTTCGTATTTTTAAGGTCAATCTTCATATACCTTGTAAATACCTCAAAGCAAATGAAGAGAAATGTAAAGAAATAAAAAAATGCTCTGTGTGTGAATGCGACCAGGATGAAATTCCCTACAATTTTCGAACAAATGAAATTGAAATAATTGAAAATAAAATGTCCACTGAAGATTTAAAAAAAACTTTTATTGAAAGCAAATTGTATAAAGATATTTTAGGTATTTATGCTCCATCTGATGAAGGGTTCCTGTCGTATGTGGACTTGGTTTATAACTCTCCCTCCTTCACAGCCTACGAGGGGAGAAATATCTGGAACAAAATTTATAAAGAAAATTGCTTTCAAAAGGAGGAAAATAAATGTCATGAAATGAAGAGTTTCTACAAGATCATTTCTGGCATGCAATCTAATATAGCCATTTTATCTTCCGAATACCACTACCTCAAAAATGATTTCGTCTTTGGTGACATGCACACGGAGCATGTGATCAAAAGTGATTATTTTAAAAAACAGAATTATGCATATAACATGCAATTCTTCAAGGACAAGATTGCTCTTTACCCAGAGAGGATTGAAAATTTGTACTTCACTTTTGCCATTTTGCTCAGGGCCATGTGCAGGCTCAAGGCGCTTGTGAGTCAGTGCAAGTGTAACTCGGGTGAGACACGAGGGGGGAGCGTTATGTACTGGTTTGATAATGAAGCTGCTTTGTAACGAGGCTGCTTTGTAACGAGGCTGCTTTGTAACGAGGCTGCTTCGTAACCGCGCCGCCTCTCAACCCCATCGCTTCTCACGCCCACAGGCCACGCACAGAACGACCAGGAGGCCCTCAAGGTGCTGAACGACCTGCTGGGCAGCTACTACCATTCGTGTTCCTCGGAAGAATTCCTGGAGCCCATTTTCCCAACCCAGGGGAAGGAAATACTAGCCAAATTTATGAACATAACAAATATTTTGGACTGTGTGCCCTGCGTGAAGTGCCGTCTGCATGGCAAACTCAAGACGACCGCTCTGCAAATAGCCTTGGTGGTAGGTCCACGTGAAGCGGCACACCGTCGATGCATGCACGTTGCAAGTGCGTAGGGATAGACAGCTGATGAATGCACGTTGCAGACATTTTAACTGAACGCTTTTTTTTTTTTTTTTTTTTTTTTTTTTTTGTCACCGCAGGAAGGGATGAGTTACGAGCACATCGGGTCCCTCGAGCGAAACGAAATTACGGCGCTCATAAACTCCCTCTATTACTTTGCTGATTCGATTATCATCCTAAATAAGTAAGTGGACCCGGACTGGGCTGTGTTTTTTATATTTTCCCGGTTCTCTTCACTCTATGTGACCCCTTCATGGTTGGTCGTGCAATATGTGTTCTCATTTCCCCTTGGTGCAGGTTTCAAGAGAGGCAGAAATTAAAGAGAGCCACGTTCATTGTTTACCTCATGGCCTTTTGTTTCTTCCTCATTCTAATCATCTACGCCGTCATTTTTATCACCGTGCGCAATTGTAAGAAGAGCAAGAAGAAGAAGAAAAAAATAAGCTGAGGGGGGGGGTTGGGCGGTGGAACGGATCAAACCCGGACCAAGGCTTACTCAGCCGAGTTAACACCACAGCAACGCGCCTGCTCGTAAAAGTACCCCTGTGTACGCGTTCCACGCATATCGACCCATCTGCTTATAAGGAACTTTTCCCCTTGGGATATTCAACGTTTAAAAAGGAATCATTAAATTGACAAGTTTGCGGTTAACACAAAAAAAAAAAAAAAAAAAAAAAAAAAAAAAAAAAAAGAGCGGACACTGTGAAGTCATAACAAAAGAAAATAGAACAAAACAGACCCTCGCATCTAATCATATGTGTACTTTGCCAAGTAAATGGACTTCCCTTGGGAGACAGACGTCACTCATGTTCTTCCCCCGCGCACTCCCATAATGCCTTTTGTGAGTGTGTGCATCTCCCCCTTCAATATTGTCTTCACCTCCATGCTGCTAATTTATGTAGCTGCACGCAAATATGCATATGTCTCCCCTCCGTTTCATTCATCCAACTTGTAACTCAGTAATTCAGTAGTACAAAAATAATTTGATAGCTTTTTACAAAATTGGAAACGTTTGCCCCGTTTTGGGGGTACCCCCGGATGGGACGCGACGGTGCCTTATCGGTTGGCACATGGCTGCTACACGTTAGCAAACCGCTAGGATTGGCTGAAACATGGCTACGCCCCGTGGGCACCCCTCCTGTGTATCTCCATCTTCCCGTCGGGCCCCGTAAACAAAATATAATTGCAGGAGCCATTTTCACTGCCCCCCTCATTGTGGACAGCCAAGTCATGTCCCAACCAATCAGGGTAATTAATAAACGAAATGTAAGACGGGCTGAAGGAACATCTTGAGGAGAATAAATTGGTCCTCACCAGTCCCGTCGCAGTATCATCATCATCATCGTCCCCCTCCACAGGGTTGTCAAAATTGTTCCAAAAATGTATGGACTCAAAAAAAATATCTCCCAGCGTGTTAACTGCACACAATTGTTGCCTGTCATCACAGCTAGCTGTTACGAGGAAGCTATTTCTTCCTTTTCCATTTTCATTGGGTCTGGTCGAAAGAGCATTCACCCAGTTCTGTCCCCTAATGTCATAAAAATAAAAGTTCCTATTCTTGTCTAAGGTAAAAATGGTATTATCATTTATAAGAGAAGAATAAATGATATGATTTGAATTTTTTACAAATGTTGAATTCAAATTTTTTTTCATTTTTCGGTCAAATAAATATTGCGGGGTCATATAATTTACGCTGATGTAACTTTGTTCATACACCTTCTGAATGCTTTTGTAAAAACGTCTAACTTGCTCATTGTCGTAGAGCTGAAAGAATTTTCTTGTACCCAGTGTACTACCTTCCTTTGTAAACATGTGGCTGCTTGCCCGGTTCGAATTGGCAGGGTTCCTCTTCCCATTCAGGTTACGTAACTGAAGCTTCTTCCTCCGTGGAACCCGTATGTCGAATAATTTGAATCCATCTGAGTGAGTAAACAACAATTTATTTTTTAGCTGCACGAACTTCACCGCTTCTGTGAAATTGTCACAGACTTGTAAACTCTGAAAATCCTTCTCAATGCTTAGCAGCTGCACCGTTTCATCTGCCGAGCCTGTCGCGAGGTAACTGTCACAACAACTTATGCTGTTCACCGTGTCGTTATGCAACTTCCTTGTAATCATTTGGTTGTAAATATTTGCGCTTTGGAGAAAATCTGTTTTCTTCTTTTGCTTTCCCTTGTTCTTCTTAGCCCCCCCCACCATGTGTGAGTCGTACTCAAACACGTCATCGAAGGAGGACAGCAGCGAGTGACCGGAGTCGCTCAGCGGGATGCTGGAGTCGTCTGACAGGGCGTCATCTTCCCCTGCGTTGGCGGCACCCGCGTGACCCCCTGAAGCGAACTGCCCACCTCCCTTACATGACCACGACGCACCCTCCTCGTTCACCTTCAAAATGCTTTGAGGATTTAACAGGATCACATTTCCGTTTGACGTCCCTATGAGGTAGTTCCCCTGTGCGCTGGAAACGCATGAAAAGTTCTCGTCCCCAATTTTTAACGAAATTAAATTGTTATTGTTCTTCATTTGGTTTCTAATTAGGTCATTGTGACTGATAATTTTTATGAATCCATTGTTGCACACGAAACAAACGTTTGCTTGGTTATAGCCAACCCCTTTGACCACACAGGGGAGGTGGTCGCTTCTATGTAATTTCCATTGGTGTTTTTTCAAATACTCTGCTGCATACACTTCCTTTTGTGATTCCCTCTTTCGCGTGTACTTGGTGTTGGTTCTTTCCTCCTCGAGGGGTGTACTCTCAACTATGCCTCTTCGTTTGTTCTTTCCTCGGAGGGGGTCCTGCACGGGCTCCTCTTCCTCCCCATGAGGCAGGACGATTCCCTCCTCCACTGAGGCTTCATCCTCATTGTCTTCCTCCTCGAATTCTTCTTCTTCGTCGTCCTCCTCATCGCCGTCCTCATCACCGCCGCTATCCTCATCTTGGCTGACGTTGTCGCCTGGGGTAAGGGGACTGCGGTTGAGTAACCTCCTGCGCATCTTTAAGTCTTTCCTTCTCTTTCGTTTAAAGTACAAATCTCGCAGCACTTGGTTAAAAACAGGCGAGTAGTACCAAGGGGAGTTCTTAATATCCTCACTGTATTTAAACGTCACGCAGGATTTCCTCGCCACATGGTGTTCTTTAAAAATTTGAAAAGGGCATTGTCCAAATTCGTGCAGTTGTGTTTTCAAGGCCTTAGAAGGCATAGTGGTAATAAGGGATTTAATTTTTTCATTAAAGTTCCGTTCAAATTCATTTTCTTCTTCCTCTTGTTCTTCTCTAATTCGTTCATGATGATATTTATAATTAGCAGCGGAGAGTTTTTCATTTAAAATGGTGTGCATGTATGTGAGGGGGTGAAAGAGGTTGAAATTTTCCTTAGCAATTTGCCCAGTTTGCTTGTAACCAAAAATTAAATTAATCCATTCGTTTAGGTGTTTATTAGCATAGTTACTTTCTAGAGCATTTTTCATTTTAATTAAAAAATCTTTGGCTGAGGAACACCATTTGGGTAGAACAACATCGTGTATATTTCCCTCATTCGAACTAATGTTAAGAATATTTTTTAAAAAATTATCATTGTCTTCATAAAACTCTGGAATAAGTTCGATGAAGGACGAGTTGGCATTGAGGGCAGTGTTGAATGTTCCTTCAATGGACAGAAAAATTCTCGACAGTGTATCAAATTTACCACTTTGTAGCTTCAATTGACATTCCGGATGTAAGCGAATTAAAAAATACACAACGTACGCCAAAGTAGAATAATGAGAACCGTAAAAATAATCATGATCCTGCATTTTTTCTATTAACGAATTTAACCTATCTGCATTTAAACAACCAACTGGCTTCTTCAAATTTCTGAACATGGAATCATCACTCAGGTTCAATTCCTCCCTTGCATAATCACACAGGATCCATGGAAACACAGGGTATTGAGAAAAATCTTTTCTACTCCTTCCAGCAAGGCAATTAATGAAATCAATATATTCATAATTAGATATTGCCCCGACTTCCCATTTTTTTTGAATAGCATAAACAAAATCTTTATTTTCTTCAATAAAAAAACACTGAGGGTTTATTTTTTTCAGGACTGAAATTATTTGCTCCCTGTCTCCAAAATTTATAAACTCCACGTATAAGGAGCTATACTTGTTCTTACTCTCATGGTCGAATATAATTTCTAATGCATTTGGCTTCATGATTATAATTCTTTTAAATACATGAAGGATGGATTCTGTTTTCCATTTTTTTTCCTTTTTATTTGTGAAATTTGGATTCGCTTGGAAGTAAATAAATTTGTTTGTTATGTTTAACAACCCCTTTGTTCTTAACAGAGGAGATATTTTAAACACCCAATACCCTTCCATGCGACTTGTTATAATTTTCTCGTGAAGACCAATACTACTAATATCGAATTTTATATTTTCAATAAGCTTTTCCATTATCCTTTCAATGTACCTCTCTAAATGTATTTCCCTCACGCTGTGTGAAAGTTGTGATCCATTTTCATTACGCGTACTGTTGTGCGATGTGGGGCTCATCCCGACTTCTCCCTTCTCGTGTCTACGTTCCCTCTGTGCATGGAAGGGAAGAAGCACAGGCCCTTCACCTCCCCCACCTAACATCACATCTTCCTGCTTCTTCTTCTTTTCCTTTATCAGAATCTCCATCTGCTTTTCATGCACCACCATGGCGATCTTTATCTTTAACATGATATTGTACACGTCCCTTAGCTTCCTCCCGCTGTTTGGTGCATTGTCGCATTGGAAAAAATATACAAAGGAGGCTCCCCCGGTGCTGCTAACGGACGCGCGGACACTGCTGTTGGAGGCGCTACCCACTGGGGAAGGGCCCTCTTCATTTTCATTAAAGTTGTTGAGGATCCGTTCAAACAGGGGGATTTTCTCATCTAGGTTATCATTATCAATGGACCCAATCTCCTCGTAGTAATCATTGTACAGGTTGTTCATCACGTTCAACATGCGCCTGTTCTTTCGGTCGTAGGTGAACTGCGATGTGCATCTCGTCTTCCTGGCATGAACTATCGTTTTCATTTTTATAACTTCAGACACTTTGATTATGATTTCGTTTCCCAGGGCTCCCATTTTGGCGTTCTCCATCTTTTTAAAGGGGAACTTCAAAACGGGGTCCTCCACGCTGTGCGGCTCGAACACCAGCGATTTCGAGCACAGCCGCAGCCTCCCTCGGGTGGCCACCACCTGCTGCGTCGGGGTCAGCTGCTGCGTCGCGCCCAACTGCTTCATCGCGGGCGGCTGCTTCGTCCCGCCCAACGGCTGTGTTGTGGGGGGCTGCTTCCTCCGCATGGTTATCATCATGTCATCCATGTACTCCTCATCCTCCTCGAGGAAAAGCAAATTGAAGCACCTCGCTGGAGATTTATCCATTTTGCCATGTCCTACGTGTTCAGTGGGGGGGTTGCAGTGCCCCTCGTCAAATTTAAAAACAGGTGCGATATTTGTTACTCGCACTAGGTGAGAGAAACTCCCTCGTAGGGGTTAAAACTACGCCTGCCTGTACATGTCAGGAAAAGGCTTCTTTCCCCCCCATTCGTCGCGCGGGCATGGCTTTTCTCACCCATGCGATTTAAGCATTCGGAGCGGTGAAGGGATTGGCAAAAAAAAAAAAAAAAAAGGCAACTCGCCTGAACGTGGTTTTTGTAAAAGTACAAAAGGAAGGGGGAAGGCATGTAAATGGAGCAGCGAGCCTTACACGGTGTGGTAAAGACCCTCGCAGAATGGTATGCCTTTTCCAGCGTTGCATAGGCATCTTACCATTTATGCGCATTTACTTTTATCTAATTGTGCTCGCTTAAGCATGTATTTTTTTTTTTTTTTTTTTTTTTTTT